ATCGTCTAATCAGGGTCAGAGAGGAAATTTGTTGTCCGAAGTCATGGAGGGAACGACTAAGAGTCGTAATGGACTTGGCAACCGCAAACTTCAATTACTGGCGAGCGCATTACCCTTACTGATCATTAGGTGGTAGCACCTTTGTCGATGATCGTATCGCTGGTTTATGTGACAGTAATGCTAATATAACAATAATAATAACGGCAGCAATCACAATGTTCAGTGAAAACCGATGTGCAAATTAGGTGATTGTGAAACACTGGTTTGTTTAAGGTTCTCACCAGTGAGGGTTCAAGTTGATTATTTAATCACCATGTGAAGAACTTGAAAACAAAAACCTTATTATCGAAAGTAGCTAAGCTTACAAGCATGCCGGTTTCTTAGTGAACGAATTTTTTCCTCTCCCTCGTCCTTCTAATTTACCCCGAACTATTACCGTATCCGTTTAGGCCTCTGCCGTTGTGGTCGTCTAAAACGACTTAATTTGAATTGCAATCGTTTGCTCACCTTGCCGGATGCGATCCATTATTTGCGTGAATCCTTGGAAACTTTCGATGTGGACAACAATCCCCAATTGAAGTTTCCACCCAAACCACCGGAAATGCAAAAAGGAGCTGGTTTGGCCTATTATAATATCGATTTTTCCCTGGACGCGCAACTTCGCCAAATTTGCGGCAAACCGGCGGAATCTGCGGACACATCATACCACGCCAAGGTTGGTTTTTGAAATGCACAGTTACCCTTGTTGATTGCTTCGTTTTCCTCATCTTTATCTTCACGGTGTATTGCTTGGTAAGACAACTATTCGGACGCTGTTCGAACAGATCTGAGAAATCCGATGGCATCAGAATTACAAAGTTATGACAAAATAGACCAATTAGGGGCAAGCATGATCGCTGGTGTGAAATGAGACCTTTCCGAAGAAAGGAACATAGTGATTTCTCTAACAAGAACTGTTCTTTTCTCCACCAGCCATTCATGAGATAATGATGTATTATGAAAGATGTCAAAACCGGCCAACAATTGACCAAAGAATTGTCTGGTTATATCAAAAAGCTTGCAGCTCTTATGGATCTGTTTTGATAGGTTTGGTGTACCGATGCAAGAGTGGGAACTAGGTGTGTTTGCCACCTAATATCACATTTGCGATACACTGGGCAAACCCATATGAAACAAAATCTCACTATGAATTGGTGTTAAGTGCTACACTGATCAGCATATGACGTTGTTGTTGCGCCATTGTTGACACTGGGAAGCCTAAGGTTTTTTGTTTTTCTGTGTAATGAATGCCGCATCCCATCCTCAAGTCACTGACACTGGCGTTATTTTCGTTTCTCTTTTAATGACCTTCAGAAGGCATTATTGCGTGAGACTGTCATTCATGCGAATTCAGCGAACGGTCTTCGGATCGGTCGCCGGACCTCAGATTGAATACAAGCATTCTACCTAGTTGACCACCGGGCAGATGATCATATCTCTTTATATTGTGTGTATACGACATAGTGCAAAACATCTTTTCAAGCCCATTATGAGCATCACACTCCTTTCGTTTCCGATAGTGGCTTTTCGAACTTATTACCGCTTGCATTCCAAACCTGACCTTTTATTGTGGATTCCAGCAGTTCATTTGCAATACATGCATAGCACAAACCAAATATCTCGCAAGCCTATTCCTGTATTTGATACAAGTATTCTCTGTTTTGTCTTCGCACTGTTCTAGGACACTGCATCGCGCCTCCGGCGTTTGCGTCGTCGTCGTGGTGATGGAGCAGGCGAGGGAGATAGTCGTTGTGTTCTTGAGGGCATGCAGCGTGTGGCTCGTGAAAAAGAAGAACTGTTACGAAAGCGTGAGGAGGAAGCTGAAGAAGAGTCGAAGATGATTGCCGTGAAACGATGGCAAGACCAACTAAACAAACCACATCTAGATTATACCGGAATCTTTGAAGAAGTTTGTTCAAACGATCATATCATCTTACTCTGATAACCCAGTTTTATTGATGATTATGTTCCGTGATAACATACTACAAGAAAAAACTGTCCTTCGTATACTTCCCATCTTCATAGAGTAGACCATTTGCGTAGTTTGACTTCATAAAGTTAGTTGATGTTTGATCCTGCTAGTCTCCATTATTCAAAATTCCTTCGTCACTCACCTGATACAATTACTCATCTCCAGATTGCCACGGTGTACGGTGTGCCAATACAAGTAGTGGATGGAAAGAAGCTAAAAACGGTCAAACTAAGACCTGGCATCAGGGTATGAAAACACTCACCAGAAAACTTGCTCACATAGATTGCGTTAGGTTTCCTGAATGGAGACATCGGGATCAGTGTAACCAATGGTTGAACACACAGAGTGATATGGCTCTACGTGGTAAACAATAGCACTTGTGCATATTCTCAGTCTCTTTGAAACCTTAGTCTACGAGAATTCTTTATTTTCTCCCCGATACCACTCTCAACATTCCAACTTTCCAACCACTCTTTTGTCCAAATGGATAACCAAAAGATAACAGACGAAACCATCGCAGAAAGGTGCATAGCTAATGGTCGCCGAGACTGAAACCGAAGTGCCTCTGTATGTGCTTTGCG